TAGATAGATAGATAGATAGATAGATAGATAGATAGATAGATAGATTATCGACAAAATGCTCGCGAAACCCTAACTAGTACAGGCTCTCTCCAATTCTATGAGATGAGACCAAAGTTGACCATATATTGACATTATTATGTTGAATGCAAGACTTCTGTATCTGCACGGCTAGTGGTATAAAGAAAACTACAGAAAAACACGGTTGCGTCCTTGTTTTTGCTTAACAACACACCAAAAAGAGAAGAAAACAAAACAAACAACTTCTCCATCAGTACAAAGAATTGCACACAGGAAACTTGGAAGACATGCGGCAAACGAGCGGAGTGGATGACCCAAAAACACAGTACGACAACGCGACCTGAAAAACCAAATGAGAATTCTCAATTTGTCCCCGAAACAGCCCAAGAATCTACTCACGGCTCAAGTTCCATCAGCTAAACTTTCCCAATGACCGAGACAGTCTCGTCAACATACTGTCGTGCTGTGTGTTTGGATCTCCACTTTTGTCTACCGAATGCGTAGCTAAAAACAAACACATTGTTGTTGGGTCGCTTTTAAGGACAAGCGGGCTAACCCAGATTTCGGGGGTTTCCAGAAATCTTGACCTACACCAAAAGTGGGCATTGCCCTATCTATAAGAGAAGTTTGGTTTCCTTGGTGTGTAGATTTGTTTGGTTAAAGAGTCCTTGTCTTTTAGAGAAACTGACAATGGTCCAGAAACTTTACCTTCGATTTTCTCAAGATAGCATTTAGCGGGATAGCCCTCTTGTGCTTAAAAGCGACCATTTGTACTCAACTTTCTACTTAGTCCATAAAACAAACAGAATGAGAAGGTCATGCAACAGCCCAGGGAGGTACAAATGTCGGGGCCGCTTCATGCCCCAAAATAGATGAAGGATTTGTCAAAAACGAAAGCTCTGCCGCTGGGTAGGAGTGAGTTCATGACGCAATGGATGGACTCACGCGACAATTTCTATCTCCGTGAAACTGTCTGAGTGTGTGAGCAGCTGATCTGCCAAGACTACTCTGTACCTACACGATACCATTAGTCCAAATACTTACATACGACCTTCTTGTAAAAGCGGAATACTCATTTCGAAAATGTGTAGTGTTTGGGAATTCTTGCTTTTAGGCAAAACCTTGAAGTTGTCACGAGTTGACAACTGATCTCTGATTTGACTTGTTCATGGACAATTCAACATGGCAATAATTGCTTATATAACATTTTCTACACAACACACACACACACACACACACACACAC